CCTTAACAGCAACCCAGATTCGGAATCCTGGGCAGTGCCTTTACCCTGGCTTGGAGTCAGCGTGTAGCAGTCATGGCTGTCCGCAAGCTACGAAAGCACTTGGCTAACCATGGATTCACTTCAGAAGACATGCAGAAACTTTTAGAGTTCTTTGATCTGGACCACGACACAGACATTTCGTTGGTGGAGTTCCGCACCATGATCAATCACGTCATGATAGGCTTCACCGACGTGGAGGTTAACGACCTGCTTCTGGGTCAGTACTGAAAGCAACGACATTTGTGTTTTGGCTTTAGAGCCCTGAGTGAGGACATGTATCGTCTAAGAAAGCATGGCAGCCACAACCCAGGTTTGAAAGTTTGGATTTTGAGCAGTGTGGACGAATTCGCGCTGCATCGTTTCTAACCCTAGTCTTTCCCCGTGAGTTTGAAGAGTGCAAATACACCTACGTCCCAGCTCTTAGAAAGAAACACCGAATTTTCTATTGAGCCTGGCGTGGGACACTCACCCGAATTCGCTGTATAGCTGCAACATAGTCTGGCTGTGTCAACATTAGGGCATTTCCTGCCTGCCTTACTTGCAGAGTGCTTCCGTTTCCAAGAGATTAGAATAGCAGCCCTCGTCTTGCCACAGATCCACCTAATCCCCCTCCCGCACAATAAACCCTACCCCTTAAGACATTGCCATTATAGTACTGCAATACAGTAGCAGGAGTACTTGTTCATGGTAAGGGGGTAGAGGGTTATTATTGGGAGGGAGAGATCGGTGTGCCAGTGCATCCGTCTTAGATGGAATCATTCCCATGTTCCTTTGCATCTAAGATGCAAGCCCATCAGAATGGGAATGGAAGACGTGCGAAAACATCTTCAAACTGCCGGCTGTGACTGGTTGCCCAAGCTCCGATGTATCCAGGATTGTTTCGAGAATTCCAAGTGATCCTACTGCATCGCCTCATGCAATAGCCGACCGAAGCTATGGATGCTTCGTATGCAAGCTCCCCTAAACCCTAAAC